AGTATTTAATAATATTTAAATTTATTTATTTAATTTTTGTATTTCCTAATTTATCATGCATTTAATAAAATTTCAATTAATTTTAAAAACATACTGTACTCATTTATCATGTTTTTCAATATATTATATTTACCAAAATTTTTATGCGTGATGTGAACTTCACTTAAAATCCCTTGAAATGAGAGCTTTGGTAATCGTAAGTAAACTTTAAATATACCATAGGTTTTATTCAATAATAACTAATATATTATATTTAACATATAAATATATAAAGGATGTGGTGGTAATTTAAATGGCAACACTGGACAGAATATCGTTTATAAAAGTGGCAATGCAAATTATAGTTATAATGATAATAACACGAATTGTATCAATGTCATCAACACTAATTACATAAAGAATATATACTTAGTGTTCAATGAATTTGAACTGGCAGATGACCATGATTATTTGAATGTTTACGATGGAGATCTGAATGAATGCGGACTATTGAGAGATAATGTTGAATGCACACTAATTTTTACATATACTGGCAATACTAAGCCATCAAATCTGCTTGTTACATCTATGCAAATATCTGTTCAACTCATTATGGGTCGTACAGATTTCAAGAGAAATGTCAATTTATCAATCGAGAGCTATGACCTTGGTGATTATTTTAAATAATTTTATTGAAATTTTAAAAATATAGTTATAAAATAACGGTTTTAAAACAGGTATGTTTCCCAACATTGACTCAATAATTGGCACTAACTATTCATTATACCTTGCTAATTCTAATGGATCGGCCGGGCGTGTGTTGTTGACCGGTGCAAATATTATATATGCTAAAGCAAAACCAATAAATATAAAAGGTAATGTTAGTAAGGTATTTAGTTTAAATTAGTTCTGAATTACAAACATTATACTGGACATTTTCCATAAAATATTTTACTTTTATTGTACTGTTAATTATCATAATAATTAAGAATACAAATAATTTTAATTATAAACGTTATATTAACAATTTGCAAAATTGCTGTGAGTAATGGTAAGTAAATTAAAGTATAACCTTGTAATTAACCTTGTGTAGGGTTTATTCAATAATTTTCAATATATTTAACATATCAAGGTAACTCTAATAATTGGTGGTGTAGTCAGCCATTAGGCGAAATATGTGGTCGTGAATCAACACTTAATCGTATAGTAGGGGGACGGGCGACAAAAAATGGTGTATACCCATGGATGGTGAGCATAAAACTGAGTGACCCTTCGCGTGGGTTTTGTGGGGGCGCTTTAATCTCCAATCAGTACGTACTGACAGCAGCCCATTGTTTCTGGGAAGACGGGGAGAGGATAGAAAAAGTTGGCGACATTGCCGTAACGGTTGGCGCCCACTACCTACGAGCCACTGAACCCGAGGCCAGGGATCACGAAGTGGCGGAAATACGAATACCCAGAAACTTCACCAAAGCCTCAAACGGTTTCGATATAGCGGTACTTAAACTGAAAACTAAGGTCAAGTTTAGCCGACGCGTACGTCCTATATGTCTGCCCCCGGATAACAGCGCCGACGACTACGCTGGTCAGGTGGCTATGGTGTCCGGTTGGGGTCATACGGTTCAGGGAGGGGTGGATAGTCCTGTACTTATGGAGGTACCGGTGCTCGTATGGAAGAACAAAGACTGTTATAATAGTTATATGAATACAACAACGATTACATCCAATATGCTATGCGCTGGTTATAGGAAGGGTAGAAGGGATTCGTGTCATAATGATTCCGGTGGTCCCCTGATGTTGAGGTCTAATAGAACTGGTAGGTGGGTGCTCATTGGTGTGGTGTCGTGGGGTGAAGGGTGTGCCCAACCAAATTATCCCGGGGTTTACACCAGGCTCAGCGAGTATATTAAATGGATTCGTAAGCTTATCACTCAATCGACAAGGTTATTGAGCACTTTGTCAACTGTTCCTGATACTGCAATCACAACTGCCCCTACTACCAACACAACCACATCTCACCATGTTAATATAACTACAATCACCACCACTACTGACAACCCTAATGATTGGTGGAATAGTCAACCCTTAACCGAAATATGTGGTCGTGAATCAAACCTTAATCGTGTAGTAGGGGGACGGGAGACAAGAAATGGTGCGCATCCCTGGATGGTAGTCATAAAAAGGAAGGGCAGTTCGAATTGGTTTTGTGGCGGCACCTTAATCTCTAATCAGTACGTACTGACAGCAGCCCATTGTTTCTGGGAAGACGGGAAGTTGACCGAAAAGGCAGGCAACATTGCCGTAACGGTGGGCGCCCATGACCTACGAGCCACTGAACCCGAGGCCAGGGATAACGAAGTGGAGGCCATAGGAATACCTAACGACTATACTAGTTCTCTCCATGGCTTGGATATAGCGGTACTCAAACTGAAAACTAGGGTCAAGTTTAGTGGACGCGTACGTCCTATATGTCTGCCCCGACATAACAGCACCGACGACTACGCGGGTCGAGTGGCTATGTTGGCCGGTTGGGGTCTTACGAAATACCCCGGAACGGTTAGCCCCGTACTTCAGGAGCTGTCTGTCCACGTGTTGGGTTACCAAAAGTGTGATGCGATTTGGAATGATTATGATTTCAAACTCAAGTCGGATATGATATGCACCGGTGGTTATAAGGCTGGCGGTAAGGGTGTGTGTAGAGGTGATTCCGGTGGGCCTGTCATGTTAAAGTCTAAAAGCACTAATAGGTGGGTGCAGATTGGGGTGGTATCGTGGGGTCCCAAGAATTGTACCAAAGCCGGACTTCCTGATGTGAACACCCGGGTCAGCGAGCATATCAACTGGATTTGTAAACAAATTTATTGATTAGTTATATGTTTGTGCAGATTATATTAAAATTAAATTTATTATACCATGATAAATTAAATTTATTTGTTAAAAGCTAAAGTTCTTAAATATTGTATGATTATTTTAAATAATTGATCTAATCATTAAGTTTGGATACAAACCATTAACCCATTTATCCGTATAATGTTGCACTATTCGAATAATGTTTTCAGAATCAATCTATTACTTATAATTTATGATATAGAGCTTAGACGCACAGATATGGTTTCCAGAAACCAACTAGTGATGTATGCATTTACAATATA